ACATAATGTTGGTCCCTGGAAGTAGGGTCTTTCCTGAGGTCTTCTCAAATTTTCTTAGGAGGACAACTGCTTTACCCCAACTTTTATTTATTTCTGCCACTCTGTATTCACTTTGGGGCAATGTTCCATCTTTTTAGTGGGGGAAATTTGGAGAGTGGAGTTTTTTGACATACTCTGCCATCTTTCTAGAATCTTCTCCATTACTCTGTTTCTTAGCCAGTGATTACTGTTTTGTAATAAATTTCAAAATCTAGTATTGCTAGGCTGTCTTCCTTCATATTTTTTTCATTTAATCCCCTTGATATTCTTGACCTTTTGTTCTTCCGGATGAATTTTGTTATTCTTTTTTCTAGCTCTATAAAATAATTCTTTGGTGATTTGGTATGGCACTGAATAAATAAATTAATTTAGGCAGAATTGTCAGTTTATCATATTGGCTCAATCTACCTGTGAGCACTTAATGTTTATCCAATTGTTCCAACCTGTCTTTATTTATGTGAAAAGTGTTTTGTATTTGTGTTCATATAGTCCCTGGGTTTTTTTGTTTTGTTTTGTGTTTTGTTTTGTTTTTTTTGCTTTTTTAGCTAGGCAATGGGGTTAAGTGACTTGCCCAGAGTCACATAGCTAGTAAGTATGTGTCTGAGGTCCTCCTGAATCCAGCCTGGGTTTTTCTTAACAGGTAGACTCACAAGTATTTTATATCATTTGCAGTTATTTTAAATGGAATTTCTCTTTCTAGCTCCTGCTGTTGGGTTTTGTTGGAAATATGTAGAAATGCTGATGGTTCATGTGGGTTTATTTTCTATTGTACAGTTTTCTAAACTTGTTAATTGTTTCAACTAATTTTTTAGTTGATTCTCTAAGTTTCTTTTATCTGCAAAGAGTTATAGTTTTGTTTCTTCATTGCCTATTTTATCTTCTCTTATTGCTATAGCTATTTCTAATACAATATTGAATAATGGTGGTGATAATGGACATCCTTGTTTCATGAACCTGATCTTATTGGGAAGGCTTCAAGTTTGTCCCTGAAACAGATAATGCTTACTCTTGGTTTTAGACAGATACTACTTTTCATTTTAAGAAAGACCCATTTGATTCCTATGCTTTCTAGTGATTTTAATAAGAGTAGGCGTTGTATTTTGTTAAAGACTTTCTGCATCTAATGAATCAATCACATGATTTTCATTGGTTTTGTTATTGATATGATCAGTTACACTGATAGTTTTTTTAATATTGAACTAGCCCTACATTCCTAGTATAAATACCATTTGGTCATAGTTTGTGATCTTTGTGATATATTGCTGCAATCTCCTTGCTAGTATTTTATTTAAAAATTTTGCATCAATATCCATTAATGATATTGGTCTATAGTCTTCTTTCTCTGTTTTTGCTCTCCCTGGTTTAAGTATCAAAACCATATTTGTGTCATAGAAGGAATTTGGTAGGACTTCCTCTTCACCTGTTTTTCCAAATAATTTGTATAGTATTGGAATTAATTGTTCTTCAGATGTTTGGTAGAATTCGTTTGTGAACCAATCTGGCCCTGGGGATATTTTCTTAGAGAGTTCACTGATGGCTTGTTTAATTTCTTTTTTTAAGATGAGGTTATTTAGGTATTCTATTTCCTCATCTGTTAATCTGGGTAATTTATATTTTCATAAATATTCATCAATGTCGCCCAGATTGTCAGATTTATTGGCATGTAATTGGTCAAAATACTTCATAATAATTGCTTTTAATTTCTTCTTAATTGGTGATGAATTCACCTTTTTCATTTTTGATGCTGGATATTTGGTTTTCTTCTCTTTTTTTTTCTAAAATCAAATTAACCAATGGCTTATCTATCTTATTGGGTTGGTTTTTTCCCCATAAAACCAGCTCTTAGTTTCATTTATTAGCTCAATAGTTTTCTTTCGGTTTTATTCATCTTACCTTTGGTTTTCAAGATTTCCAATTTGGTGCTCAATTTGGGGATTTTTAATTTGTTCCTTTTCTAGTTTGTTTTTTTTTTTACTTGCATGTCCACATGTCCAGTTCATTGTTCTACTTTTTCTCTCTTTTATAAATGTATGTGTCTAGAGATATAAATATTCCCAAAGTACTGCTTTGGCTGCATCCCACTCATTTTGGCATATGGTCCCATTGTTGTCATTTTTAATGAAAATATTGTTTCTGTGGTTTGTTATTTGACCCACTTGCAAAGGTTGGATTTGCAGAAGTTGGTAAATGAATGGACATGGGAGTGAGGGATAGAAAAAAGTAGTAAATGACTTCAAACTTGCAAACCTAGGTAATGAGAAGCTTGGTGGTGTGCTGGAAGGAAAGAAAGAAAGAAATGGAGAAATGGTGGGCTCTAGAAAGATAAATGAAATCTGTTTTAAACATGATGAGTTTGAGATGCTTATGGGATAATCATTTGGAGATTTGACATTTAGTGGTACAGGACTGAATCTCAGGAAAGATATAGGAATCATCTGCATTGAGATAACTGAAGCCATGGAGCAGGTCAAACTTCTATGAACTCCTTTCTGAATGTTTGCAGTATTTTCTTTTAATTTTTTACATGGGAGCTCTGGATTTTGTCTGCCATTATTGCAACTTTTCCTTTTGGTCTTCCTTTCAGGAAATGATTGGTAGATTCTTTTTATCTTTACTTTGCCCTCTAGTTCTAATAGATCTTGGCAGTTTTCATTTATGATTTCTTGAAATATATTGTCCAAGCTTTTCTTTCTGTCATGGTTTTCAGAGTCTAATGATTCTTAATTTTTTTTTCTGTGACTACTTTTCCAGGGCTATTGTTTTTTAAATCAGATATCTTCTGTTTTCTTCTACTTTTTCCAATCTTTTAATTTTGTTCCAATATTTCTTGCTGTTTCATGGATGATTGATTTTTGTTTGCACTTAATAATGTGTTTTATAAATTTTTGTTGACTGACCATTTGGTATTTTCTAGTATTCTCTTCCAGCCTTCAGGGAATCCATTTCTTGGCTTTATTTATTCACTTATTTATTTATTTATTTATTTATTTATTCATTCATTCATTCATTCATTCATTCATTCATTCATTCATTCATTCATTCATTTATTTATTTATTTATTTATTTATTTATTTATTTATTTGCAAGGCAATGGGGGTTGTGACTTGCCCAGGGTCAAACACTAGTAAGTGTTAAGTGTCTGAGGCCAGGTTTGAATTCAAGTCCTCCTGACTACAGGGCCAGTGCTCTATCTACTGTGCCACCTAGCTTCCCCTAACACTTTCTTTTCTAAGTTATTTGTTCCCCTTTCAGTTTATTTCTTCAAGAGTCTTTATTTCTTTTTTTTCCCTTTTGCTTATTTTTTTCCTAAGTATTCATGTAGTCCTTGTGGAAAATCCTTTTTTCCCTTTTGAGTGTCTGCTTGAAATTGTTATGTAGTTAGAATTGCAATAATTTTATACAGGTTGGTGTTCATGTCTTCTCTACCTTTAGTTATTGAATTGGGATTTTGTGCCAGGGCCAGGCTCCACCCCCTGCTGTGCCTTGGGTGGGGTGATTTGCTTTGACTGGTGTTATTTTGGGTTCTTTCACTGACCTCCCTGTCTTTGGGTTCACCCTCACACCCAGTGTTGATCATTATTTAGTCTGGTGAGAATATCATGGTTGCTGTAGTAGGTGTGAGGGAGGCCTGTTCTCCAATTTATGTTAGCTGAAAGTGTGTTATCTGGCTCTTCATAGAATTTTTCTACTTCATTCTGTGCAAAAGATATTGGCAAATAAGCTGTAGTTATCTTCCTGGTGTTCTGTTTATCATGCTCATCATGAATAATGAAAGATGAAGTGACTGAATATCCCATGAAATGTTTTCTATTACCTTTGGGCACACAATGAAACCAACTTCTTTATTCATTTCTTCAAGAAGAATCTGTGACTCATTCTCTCATTTAGCTGCAACTTATTTATATCTTCTGGTTCTACTTACAGTACAAATATCGTCATGGATATTCTTCATTTCCTTCATTGGTGTCCACCTGCTGATATTGGTAAAAGAAACAAGTAAACCAGTGTTTATAAATTGTCTAAAAATTGCAATGATAAACCCACTGATACAATAACAGATATGATGACAGAAAAAATGTTTTCAACAGTCATTAAAGATGGTGGTGCCAATGTCATCTGACCTGCACCACACCTTCTAGTCACACATTCCCTTCCTTCTTTCTAGGCCATCACGCCTGCTTTGTTATTGGTGAGTTTTTTCCCTTCAGTTCCAATCTTGATCCTGTAGCTAACAAGCCATCTTCCATTTTCATATGACACCATGTTAATGGCACATAGCCCTGGAATATCCTACAGTGCCTTCTCAACAATATTCACAAGAAACTCAAGACAACACCTCTGTCAGCCCAGAAGAAAGGCAAAATGATGAAGAACATATAGTACTTTAATTAATTTTCATGGGCAATATAACTAGATTTAATATAAGGAAAAGATTATAGTTGATTACATTTGGGAAACTATATAGCACTTTCAATAATTCCAAGCTACCTGCTGCTGCAAATATACACATATACATATATACATACATATGTGTTTTATATATGTATATGTCATAGTGATCTATATATCTATAAACATATGTATGTTTGTGTAATCAGAAATTTAAAAAATTTAAGCAGTGAAACTGAAATTTAATATTTCATGTTATTTATTACCTTTGCTTTTTCTGGTGTTTCATGAAAATCTTTGTGTGAGATTTCTGAAGATTTCTGCTCCAGGCAGGTGCTTTTATCTTCTTCGTCTAATGAATGAAGAGTACATCTATTGAAGGGAGTTTGGGATGGGGCAGAAGTAGAAGAGGTGAGATAGATCAGTTTTGCAGGGTATACAAATTTTTGTAGGACTAAAGATTTTTAGAATCAAAGACATTGATCTGAATGTTTTTGTTGATGAAAGTTCATTTACTAATTTTAACTATTCTTTTCAATATGATACAAAGAATATATCCTTTCCTTTTCCAGGAAAGAAAAACAAATTAGGCGGGTAGAAGAGGAAATTGAACAAGAAAAACAAGCAGCAGATGGCATTATTAAAAATATGTCTCCTGAAAAACAAGTCAAGTATATAGAGATGAAAACTACAAATGAAAAATTATTACAGGTAATGGCAATGTCTTTCCTTTATTTTAGGTTAAAATTTATTAAACACATTATTAAAAAACACATTATAAAACATTGCTGGTTTCCATGGTACATTCTCAAGTTGAATAATAAAACTAGCCTTTTGGAGCTCTCAGTGTCTTGAACTCCAGAAACCAGTCTCCTTCACTCAATGGCAGTGGCAGCAAAAGCCCAACTCTTGAATTGAAGGCAGCAATTAAAAAAAAAGATAAAGAACTACAAGGATTATATTTAATAAATGAAAAGAGCAGGAGAATTGACAAAAGAAATAGAAAAAAAGAAAAATGGAAAAAAATACAAAGAAAAAGAGTTTCATTGTTATGGCAGTAGTATAAATTAGAAGGGGCAATGAGGTACAGTTTGACAACTAAGAAGAAATATGATGATAGTGACAGAAAATAAAATAGCTCTACTGTCTAAAGGAGCTAGCTGACTATACCATGAAAGACTCAAAGCATTAGTGTGCCATTCTGAAAGAGTTGTGTAGATGTTTAGGTGTCCAGTAATTTCTTCTATCCAGAATGGATTATTCCTTGCTGATGCCAGATAACCCAGTTTTTATTGGGTTGTATTTTGCTTCGGTTTTATTCATTGCTGCATCTCTCTTACCCTGAAATTTATACCAAGTCTTTCTATTTTATCTATATAAATATTCTCTTTGTTTCATCTGATGTATGTTACAGGGACACACAGTAATTCTTTTATTGCCTTTTCATGCTTTCATGTAAATACAAGTGCATAACAGGACACAAAGTTTTCATATCTATCACCTGTCTTCTCAGGGCATTGAAATCTTCCATGCACTACAACTTTGCAGCCCTCAAAGGAAGACACAGCAATACTTGGCCTTTCCCACTTTTTTCATTCCCTGATTTGCCCTGCCCCCCCCCAAAAGCCTGGAATCTGAAATAAAGTAAATTTGAACCAGAACCAGGAAATATTACCCTTCTCATCTTGCTCCTTGTTTAATCTCTCTGGTATCCATTGCTTGGTCCCAAAAGATAAGTTCCCCAAGAAGTCATGATTTTGGCCCAAGAAAATTTCAAGAAGTGTTATTTTAATCTTGGTATGGGGGTCTGAAGCAGCTATTTGGATACTGTGTAAGTGCTACCAGCCAATTTAATTCTTGATTTGATATGTTTTTCCCTCCATTCAGAGAGGTCAAGAGGATTATTGTGCTATAACACAATATAAATGTGAGTTGTAGTGCAAATAGATAGTACAGAATTATACCTTGAAATAAAGGCATCATAGAAATGTCAAAATACTATTAAAAGAGGTTCTATTATCTAGAGACCTTTTATGAGAAATTAATGCATTCTAGCAAAGGAGCCATGCTAATTGCCAAAGGCTTAATACAAGCTCCAGCACTCCATTTATAACTGAAGATGGTGAATAAATAAGTGAATGAATGAATGAATGAAGGAAAAAGCACTTGTCAAGCAGTGATCTTAAACAGTTATGCTTTTTTTTGAAAGTCACTAGATATACAAGTCCTGTAACTTTCAAGTGTGAAAGTAACATTAAATTTGGCGGGTTAGTCAATGTTTTTGCAAAGTGGTATTTTTTGGTAAGGATTTTTCTCTTTAACAAAATACAGACATACCTACCTCTCTCTCTCTCTCTCTCTCTCTCTCTCTCTCTCTCCATATATATATATACATATATATATAGATATATATATATACATGTATACGTGTTGTCTATATATATGCTATCTATATCTACATGGACTTTAACAAGATAAAGGAAATAGAAAAATAAGATACCCAAGTTCTAGACAAAATATATTTTTGGTAGTTATTAGAAGCATCATAATACGATGGGAAAAAATGCTGGTTTTGGAGTCAGAGGACCTGAATTCAAATCCTGATTTTGGCACTCAATACCTATGTGACCTTGGGCAAATCATTTCACCTCTGTGGGCCTCATTTTCCATTTGTAAAATGAGGGGTTTGGATTAGGTGACCTCTAGGGTCTCTTACAGCTTCAAATCTCTGATTTTTACTTCAAGTTAATATCTGTAATTTTAAGAATGTTAAGAAACAACTTATTTTCATACTTAGGTCACACTAACACTTGGCATTTTATCTCTTTTATCTAGGAATTAGATACACTTCAGCAGAAATTAGATTCACTGAACATGAAGAAAGAAGGTCTGGAAACTGTATGTATGGAATTAAATAAAAGCTCTATTATTACCCAAAACAGAAGATAATTGGGCCTAATCAAATTGTAAACTAAATTATTAGGTTAATGGGACTCATAGCCTTTTACTTTCCTGGTACAGAAAGTTACAAATTTGTGAGTTAGTGATTTGAAATAGTTCAGCAATTCTACTTTTGATTCAAGATCATAAATATTCTAATTGGAGGAAGGAAGAAAAAAGGGAGTTCCTTCTGTACACCAATACAATTCTATTTCAACAACAGTGAATGTTACTTAATTCCAACCCTGCATGCTTTTCTTCTCCTTCTCCCATCTTCCATCTGCTTTTCTCAGTTTTTGTTGTAGATAGGCAAACGGCAGAGTGTAGCTATGTTTTTTAATTGGCAGAATTGTCACCATCTGTCAGCTACTGAATAAAATGTCAGAATGTTATAAGAGTATATCTTAAGACTTTGCCCTTAAAATAGCTGTTTACCTGTTTATTTTCAGATATTAAATATAGTCAATATCTGATTATTTCCATGTGGTAAATCACTGTAGACTATCTGCAAGTGGTAGGACATAACAGAAATACACCTTATTCAAGGAGCAGGGCCGCTACATTGTCCTGTGTGGATGTCAGGATTTTCCACTACACAGATGTCACTTTGCTAAGTTATTTGAGTTGTGGTCATGGACTTAAGTTACATGCCAAGCGTTCTAGCTACAGGAATAGGGCCAGTAACCACAACCATCTTTTTTTTTTTTTAAGTCCATCAGTCTTCTTCCATGGAAAAGAGATAAATATTTTTCTTTTCATCCAGTTCTGTGACTTTATTAGCATAGGAACTCTCTGTGAGGAAACTTCGCCTACTAATGTAGATCTGTAACTTATAATCTTAGAAAATTGCCTAGGACACTGAGAGGTTACGTGACTTACCCAGAGTCATAAGGCCAATATGTATCAAGGGACTTGAACCCAGATCTTCCTGTATTCTGTCCTCTACTAAATGATGCCTTTTAAAGATGTGTCATATATGTTAAGAAATGTTTTCAGTGCTATCAACTTAAATAAAACGTGAGCCTCTAAGTTCCTAAAGATTATAGTGTGAAATATATCAATTAACAAATATTTCTCCAGTAACTTATATGTGTCTTAGTGCTATAGGTCTACAAATTAAATATAAAACATAGTCCTTTCTCACATTGAACTTACAGTTTATTCAGAAAGATTCCATTTTCACACACAAGTGCTGAACAATACAGCATCTAATAAAATGTTAAATTATGTGGTCGGCTAAGTTGGATAGCTAGGTGGCAGTGTTGTGTAGTAGAAAGAATACTAGACTGGAAATCAGGAGACCCCACCCTACACACACACACACACACACACACACACACACACACACACACACACA